TGTCCAAAAAACTTGTTCCCGAGTCGCGGCTGCTGAATGCCGCTTAGCTTAAACATGAATAACAGATAATAAAAGTAACGTGCTTTCTAATATATTATGTATATATATATATATATATCATATATCATATTTATATATATGACACATAGAGAAAACAACCGAAACCTTGGAGGTCTAACAATCGTGACGTCAAAAAAGACCACCTGAGAGTTTTTTCGTATCAACTCTAAGTGGGGTTACCGGTCAGACGTTCACCCAATAAACGCCGCGGTTGTTATTGGAGCAGCATGGTTCCACTGTTCCACTGCCCAAATTTATCCAAAAAATACCATATTTGGCCCAAATCATCTCGAATCTAACATCTCAATCTAAGCTGATTGAAGTTTCGGGGGGGATTTTGTGATTGAAGCTGGTGAAGAAATGTCACCTTTTCCTTGTAGATTTTCTGGTTGTCGACCTGGCCATGGCCATGGCTTTTCAAACGTCCAATGGAGCACTCTGCCATGACTTACCTTTAATGCAGGTGAACAAAGGCTTAAAAAAGGGAGCATCCCAAATAGGGGTTTTACCGTAAGCAGGTTATATAATGTTATATAAGCAAAATCAAATGAACATGTCAGCTTTATTTACGCCACAAATAAGGATCCCGGGAAATCGGGTTGATTTTAAGGTTGATTGCTTAAAAATCCCGAGCACGCATTCACATAGATTCAAGACTTTCGAGGATCTGGCAAGCGGCTTGTAGTTCTGTTAGATCCCAATCGACAAACTGCGCCATGATCATGTTCCCCAATCGATTCAGCCTGGTTTTGTCAAAAAATGGTAGGCTATACCCCCAAAACCCGTACTGTAGTTAATAATCTGTCCGCCAAGATTTCAGTTTTAGCCCATTTTGCGCTATCGTCCCTCCCTGCATCTCCCTGCACATCGTAGGTGCTTCGGATTACTTCGACGTGGCCTGTGATTTTATCAAAAAGTCACCTGGTCTGTTTTTTGTTTTTGGCACTCGTTGGATGGTTGAAGTTTTCGCTGGTTGGGGGTTTCTGGTTATGCAAACCCAAAAAAAACCATCGGAGAGTTGTTGATTCCCCGCATGTAGGTCTGGGTCTTCCAAATTTTGGATGGGAATGTCCCATTTGGTTGTTTTTGGTCCATCTCATCACAGCCACATATTTGGTCGAGCTACCGTATAGAATGGTTGCGCTTCATGGCAGGTGTATATCCAGTTCATAAACCCATTTTTTTGCGGATGTGTTCTTTTAATTGCCGTATAGTCATTTATTTTCATGATGTCTCATTTATCCTCACAAGTTTCCAGATCATTGTAGTTGAGTCTACCAGAATTACCCACCATGGAACTCTCCCATAAATTTTCCATATGTGCAATGGTCAAAACTTGGATTACATGAAACGTCAAAGAGCTCAACGAGAAGCCGGTGGTTAATTAGTAATTTGTCAAACCACTTTTCCTTGTGATGACCTGTTGTGTACAGGCTATTTACTTGCCATGTCCATGTCACAATGGCTCATTTGTGCCACCAGTGCCTGGGACAGGATTCTCTTTCATGGGATGGATGGCCATTTCCTGTATTGAACCATTTATAATAACTTGACCACGGCACATATGAGAACTCTTCCTTCATTTTCCATATGATGCACATCCAAAAATGAATCATTTCAATATTATAATATATATATATACATGTATAATCAATTCTAATCATTAAACTAGGCTTAAACTACCATTTGCGTTTTTTTTGCCAACCACCCGATCATTTTCCGTTTCCGAGCTTCCCCTTTGGAGATTCTCAGGAAGCGGAGCCAAGCGAACCATTGGACCTCCTGGATCCCCGATAAGACCCAATGCACTGCGCAATTCGGTGCCGCGGCGCCGAGTTTTTTTTTGTGATGGTTTTTGGCCGCCCAGAGTAGATGAGTAGATGTTTGCTGATGTTTGTTGAGAATTTCATCAAAGAGGGTTTGCTAATGTTTGCTAATACTATTGGGTTTACCAGAACCACATTGTAGTTTTCTTATCCCGTGTGCAAGTGGATAGCAAAGGCTAAGACTGGGGGCCAAGGCCAAACATTTTTCTTTTGAAGTGTTGGTGACTTGAAATGGAGGTATCCTAAAATGGTGGTCCCCCCTAAAATCATCCAGCATGACGCCATATTTTACTGGTTGGTGGTTTGGAACCATGGAATTTGGATTGACTTTCCCATCATATTGGGATTTTCATCATCCCAACTGTTACTCACTCACTCACTCCATCATTTTTCAGAGGGGTAGGGCTCAACCACCAACCAGATATGATGATTAACCATCATCAACCATTAATATTAACCATTAATATTAACCATATATATATTAACCAGGTATATTAACCATTATTAACCATCCAGTTTAGTATCTGTTAGTGACTTGAACATTGAAACCCAACCGGTGACTTGGGGATGGGACATCATTACATCGGCACAAAGGGTTAAAGACTGGTGGTCTAGAATCTGAGGTACCAGATAGTGGGAAAAAAATATCGGCACAAAGGGTTTTAGATACGATTCGTGATTTGAGTGCTTTGATTACTAGCCTGAATTGATAAACTGCTACGGTCAACGGCACAAAAAACAAACACTCACATGGCTTGTTTGATGGAGTTCTTGTTGGATCACCGGAAAAAAATAGATCAGAGATGATCTGGGATGTTTTGGGTATCAGAGATAAGCCATGTTCGCGGAGCCAATTTTGTATATCTGACTCTTACTTACTTCCACAGGTTTCTCCCATCACAAGTTGAGACTCAAATTATTCGCCTATAAAACGCGTAAACATATAGAATATCCATGTTTGAACTACATTATTTAATTTATTTGTAAATGTTTCATGTGTACCCTAAGTATAAGATACACTTTATTTGGTGCAACATCTCATTTGCCTAATATTCAACACCCCCTAAATTCAACAATGGTTTCGCGGAGCTGTTCAATATCATACTGCACAAAATCCGGGCCATTTTGCCCCTAAGGTTTGTACAACGAACAGGCGCAAGCCGCCGGTTTCGTGCACCAAAAATGAATCCCATCACAATACATGGGTATGCACCAACCTGTGCTGAAAAATCCTTGGTTCGTAGTAAATGTTAATGTAAGTAATGTAGTCATAGTGTCGATATAAAGAAAGGAAAATTCTGTAATTACATGTTTGCATATCCATTGTAGTTCTTTTTGCCGAAAGAAATGGATTTACCGCCAGGTTAGATTACCGGAGGCAACGAGCGTCCCAATTCGCTAAGCGTTTGATGATGGAAACTTGATGGTAATTAGTCACCTATCAATGAATTGATGCTAGTTCGCAATAGGGCGTTTCTTGTAGTTGGTCATATATGATTTAATATGGTTCTCCCCCCAAAAAACCTCCACAAATGCCTGCTGTGTAGGCTCAATGACTCAAGGGCGGGGGTGGCGGAACGCTCCAAGCGAGGATTCCAGCAGTGATCGTCCAGACTCTAACTGCACACGCTTTCACTGCACCATGATATTTGGGAGGTCCAAGTATGTATCTGGTTGGAGGTTTGGAACATTGTTTATTTTCCATTTCATATATGGGATGTCATCCTTCCCATTGACGAACTCATATTTTTCAACATGGTTATTGCACCACCAACCAGGTATTGTTATTGGACCATACAAACGGGACGTTTTTTCATTGAGATGACGACCATGTTTTGGGATGGGTTAAAACCAGTCAGGTGAAATTAACACTTGACAATTCTATAAAGGGTGGCGCCCCACGGTCAGCCAAGTTGGTTTATGCCGAAAATAGCTAGGGTGTGTGGTAGATATATCCAACTACAGCGCAAGCGTTACATAAGAAGGTTGGTTGCCGATGGCCAGGGTCCCTCAATTTCTTATCGGAAAGGCCCCATGTATGTCAGTATATATGTACAATATTTCGGTCGAGGGTCCCTTAATGTCTTAGCAATTTCTTAATGTATAATGTAGTATTTCACAAGCAGTCAGATTCGAAGATGTAAGAGCGGGGTTGCCTCTGCGCAGCTCCTTTCGTGAGTTTGACTCCGCCATCCTTGCGCCACTTCCCAGTGGCTCCTGAGCTGAAAGGAACAGTTACCCAGTCTCCTCTACAGAAAGCTATTACAAACCCTTACATGATTAAGAAATTGAGGGGCTGGATTTCTTAGTTATGTATTGAGTTGAATCCTTACCCGGTGACGTCTCCTCTACACAAGGCTCTTATAAACCCTTGCATGGTTAAGAAATTGAGGGGCTGGATTTCCCGCTCCAAATAGAATCTTTATAAGCCATTTCATGGTTAGGAAAATTGAACAGGGGCGCAAAGGGGCTCCTTCACACACGTCTAAATTTCTTAGCCTTTAAAACTCCAGGGCCCCTCAATTTCTTAACTTCCATTTGCATATATATATATATATATAATTATATATATATATATATATTCCACAAAACATATATGCGGCAAAAAAGCAGCCCCTCATTTTCTTATACAAGGAATTCTTATACAGTGTTTGGGCTGTAGTAGGCGGGGCAAAACTAAACCAACAGACACTGGGGAGGGCACGTTTAAGTTAGACGTGGCTCTGACATTCTCTGGTTGGTGGTTTGGAACATTTTCTCTTTTTCCATTCAGTTGGGAATTTCATAATCCCAACTGACTAATATTTTTCAGGGGGGTAGGTATACCACCAGCCAGTTCTGTTTTTAGGTTCCAACCTCTGATTGTTTACGCCATGAAATCTGGTGAAATGAACACTGCAATTCCATGGCTCTTTCAGAAGTGTCTCTATGTTCAGTTCCCGTGTTCTTGAAACATTGAAACAAAACAAATAAACAGAATCAAAACAAAACATAGGACACCATCGAAAATAGATGAAACATACACAATATGTAAACATATTGGTTCACTATGTTTCATTCCCAAACTCTTTGAAGCTCCCTTGATCTCAGTTGGCCGAAAAAAATGCCGCGCAGACCCAGCAATTCGTGCAGAATCGCGATGATCCCGCGAACCTCATTTGCGCCGCGACAGCATCGATCGGGTTCCAACGACCCGCAAAAATCATAAGGGCAGCCATGGAAACATTAGGATATGCATGGATATTGTGCATATATATATATATAATATTTATACCATGATTTACGATCATTTACCATCATTTACCCGATTATTTGGATATCAATGGATATCAATGGATACTAATGGATATGAAGGGATATTAATGGATATTATTTGATATTATTAGTTGATCTAGCTTGAAAATGCCCGAACAATAGTTCGATGATTATCTCAGCTAGAAACCTCCATGGCTATGTGCAAGTGGTTTCCCAGCCAGCCACAACACCGGAGGGTAATATGTATTTACATTCCTACGGAATGGGTTTAGGTACCCAAATTTGACACCCATCTATTTGGTGAAAGTCGCCCCATCAATTTGCTGAAAGACAGGGTGGAATTTGTCCCAGCTATATAATAAATATTGTTAAGCACCGCAATGTGACCACCCAACAGAATCAGGAATCCCTCCAATGACTGCTTGCACTGACGCCCCAATCCGAGTTCCTATCCATTTGGCAAACAAAGTGTACAGTATCCATACCATCTGGTAAACTAACATAGCTATGGAAAACCACCATTTTCAATATGTAAATCAACTATAAATGGCCATTTTCAATAGCAAACTGTTAGTCATCACCAGAGGCATTACCCGTCGGAGTCTACCAGATCGGTTTCATTTTGGTCTTCAGCACTGAAGGCCCGAACTCATGAAGTTGTTTTCCATTGATATAAATGAATATCCATTGATATTTTTTTGTTATCCGTTGATGCTAATGTAGCCTAGATACTTTTGTTAATTTTTGTTGTATCTCTCTGTGATTTTATTTTGGGCTTGAATTTTCATAAATGAATTCTACGTGTGTTGTAAATGACCAATCCTGTGTTGCCTTGTTTTCAATCCAATGTCTATTGATTTGGAGAATGGGAGGACAAAAATCCCAAACAATTGACGGTTGATCATTGTTGGTTCGCAACGCACTAAATATTGAACTTGACATTTTAGGGATATCAAATTCAAACATTTTCAGACTGACCTACTTGACATTTTGGGGATATCAAACATTTTCAGACTGACCCATCTAGTTACGTGGGCGCAAATGAGTCAAGTTTGTCGGTGCAGATAAAACCATGATGACTATTTGTTGGTATATCACATCAGAATTCATCTGTGGCAAAATCGTAATATACAATCCAACACTCGGGATACGTTGAAAGGCCCCAAGATTACAGTTCCTTTGGGAAAACCGACGATCATATTTTGGAATTTGGGGATTCCCTCTTTCAGAGGAACCAACCCATATCATCCAGATGGTCCAAATGGACTAGTCACTAGTCAAACATTCATCCACCATTTTAGCCACCATTTCACAACAATTCCCTCTAAATTTAATACCACCCTTCACATTGAAACTTGGTGAAATGTATTCTATATTCATGACTTGGTGTCCCATAAAGACGGGGTGAGTGTTTCAAAGTATTTCAGTATATTTCATAACATCCTGGAAAGGGCTTACCAATCCAATATTAACATGTCATGTAGGACGATTCATAACCATTAAATTACATAATATAATTTCATGTATTAGCATAGACTAATATATATATATATATATATATCGTAAGCATATTGATATGCAATTATAGTCATATACAAACAACTATCATGGAGGTTTCCTAAAATTGCGGTACCCCCAGTCATAATCCATCTTCATGGGATTACCATGAACTAAACCATCCAGCTATTGAGGATCCCCCATTTATGGACACATCACCATCTTAGTTAATCACATTCACCAAATGTATAAATGTTGCCTGTATCATAATATATCCATGTATTTGTATATGTTTTTTTTGTATATTATCTCCATCTTAGTTACATTCACCAAAATTATAAACTGGCTTCTAACCATATGCCATCCCTATAACTGGCATCATGAAAAAGGCCTCGCATGTCCTTCTGGACATTACTCCGCGGAGCTTAAAGATGGGAGACTTGACAGGCATGGATTTAGCCATGAAAAATGGTGGTTGAGGCATCAAACATGGTGATTTGGCCATGAGACGTGGTGGTTTACCTGGTTTAACTATCAAAAATGATCGTTTAGCCATGAAACATGCTGGTTTCGGCTGGTTTTGCCATGAAAAAGGCTTGGATGTGTTTTTTGCATCCCAACAGTTCAACTGAAGGAACTGACAGGATGAGTAGAGTTGTTTCACCACCATGGCTGTTGTGATGTAAGGCGTGCAACTCTCAGGGTTTTATCGCTGCATCCGCGGCTAGTACGTGTATGTTTTTAAGTATGTCTAATCATGTTGAACCAATGAGGTCCAATATATATATATATATATGATTATATATACACAATTATATATCACAATATATATATATATATTATACAATATACATAACAATATATATATATATAACAATACATATATATATATACATGTATTCCCCTTCCAATTTCCACCAGAGAATGGGAGGCCTTGTGCCCCGTGCAAAGTTTACATTTGAGTAATTTATCGGGTCCAGTCATGGGGTTGTGCTCTTCATTTTGTAGTAAAAGGTTGAGCACAGAAATTTGTAAGTTTTCAGTGGTTGGGTGTCTGAAACCCCTTTGAAAATCGAACAGTCATTTTGTAGCAAAAAAAAATCACGCCCTTCAGATGGCCTGTTGAAACCCAATGGCATCTTGTACAGAAACATGGGCGAACTGAGAGGGGAACATGATGAGCGTAGGCATTGTTTGAACCATTTCGAAGGAGTGATGAAATAAGCGATTTGTACAATATACCCTCTGGTTATGACTAACAGTTCGCCATGGAAGCCATGGCCCATAGAAATAGAAGATTTTCCCAGCGAACTAAACCTCCATTTATAAGGGATTTTCCATGGCTATGTTAAATAAGCAGATGGTATATATATATACACAGATAATTTATCTGTGATAATTTCAAGTATCTTGTTGCGATGCCCCTAATTTCAGTTCACCTGAGAGGTAGGGGATTTCTGTGAACTGTATATAGATGTTTCTTTGCCATTTACAGACGGTACGTCAAAGCGTCTGAAGACCACACCATCCATGATACTAATATACCATCCATGATACTTATATACCCTCTGGTTATGTCAAAATAGCTATTGAAAATGGCCATAGAAATAGTGAGTTTTCCCATTAAAAATGGTGATTTTCCATAGTTATGTAAACGTTTACCAGAGGGTACAACCTATCAATCTAATATAGCTGGCAATGGAAAATCCCACTTCAAACAATCCCACAGAGAAAGGGGATTTCTCATCAAGTTTTGATCAAACGCAAGAGTATGTTTGTATTTTTTGTTTCACACATAAATGGATTTAGTAATGTTGGCGAGAGTTGAGCTTGAGACCATTAAATATCATCAAATAGTTATTTTGATCATTAAATATCATTAGTACCATTCGAAAATATTAGATATCATTACTGATTGGTGGTTTGGAACATATTTTATTTTTCCATTCAGTTGGGAATTTCATAATCCCAACTGACTTTGATATTTTTCATACCACCAACCAGTTAAATATCATCTGTATATTTCTATCATTTCAGACCATTTCTATGTTTGAAGTGCTGCTTCGTTGGCCTGGCCACCTTGCCACGGCCTGAGGAGTGGGAAAACCTTCGTGTGTCGAGGCTGCCCCGTGGGCACCTCACAGGTGCCTCGGATGTGGAGCTATGGAGCTATGGAGGTTTAGCCGATGGAAAACCCGATCGCCTCTGGGAATGACTACCCTCTGGTTATGTCAAAATCTAACAGTTTGCTATTGAAAATGGTCCATTTATAGTGGATTTACCATGATTTAGCTATTAAAGATGGTGATTTTCCATAGTGATACCCTCAAACTAACATAGCTATTGAAAATGACCATAGAAATAGTGGATTTACCCATTGATAGCATGGTGATGTTCCATAGTTTTTTGTAAATGTTTACCAGAGGGTAAGAGTTTCTGCTTGGTCAAAAAACCAGATATCAATGGTTTATGAATGTTTATTATCTGATATTACCATTGATGATACTATAACTGCTTGGTGCTGACTGGAACCATGGAATTTGGATTGACTTTCCAGAAACAGTTGGGAAGGTCATCATCCCAACTGACTTTCACTCCATCATTTTTCAGAGGGGTTGAAACCATCAACCAGCCAACAGTTTGCTATTGAAAATGACCCATTTATAGTTGATTCATGTTGATTCACCTATTAATAGATGGTGATTGTTCATTGTCATGAGTCATTTGTTTTTCCCAGAGAATGACTACCAGTTTGCTATTGAAAATGGCCATTGAGTTGATATCGCTGATTTAGCAAACATTGAATTTCTTCCCGTTGGGATAATGGGTCTGGTTGAATTATGTTGTGATTAAGTTGTGACCAAATGACGTCGTGACATCACTGGAATTGCATGTTTTTTTTTGGGGAATTACCCCGAAGTTTTCATGTTAGTGAGTGAATTATCATCAGTTCTCCACATGAGTGTCAAATGGATGTGAAATGGCCGTTGAGATTTCTGAATCACATTGGAATAATTTTGCCGTTTTTATTCATCGTTTGCCCATAGTACCTTTTTGCAGTTTTCCTCCAGGGCTCCAAGGAATTGCAGGCATTTGATTTTTCCAAACTTTGCAGCAGTGCATCATGGTGTTCTTCAATCACAACGTTGAGCCCAGGCTAAAGTTCCACGTTGGTTAGATCTCGATGTTTCCCAAATGGTTCATGTATGGAATAGGCCAAAGTTCCATGTTGGTTACATCTTGATGTTTTCCAAATGGTCCATGCATCGAGTATTCACCACTTTTCTTACCTTCAAAATGAGAAAAAAACAACAAGGTCCATGCAGAAACCATTAGATGAGAGGTCCTTGTGAACTACTTCAAGCGATAAATGCAATAACCTTTCGCATCACCACCTTTGTGACCCTTAGTTCGGGTATACCATACATGGAACATATAGGTGTGTATGAAACTTGGCTATACCCACCACTTTCCTCCTCAAGAGAGAGAATAAACCTAACCAGAAAAAAAGAACCTTTGAGTACTAGAGTAGGGACATTATTTAGAAAAACCCATAACTGGTTGGTGCTTTGGAACATGAATTTGGATTGACTTTCCATTCAGTTGGGAATGGAATAATCATCCCAACTGACTTTCACTCCATCATTTTTCAGAGGGATTCAAACCACCAACCAGATAACCTCCAACAGGTACCTCCTTTGACTAGTTGGAACCTTTGAGTACCTCCAACACCTCTTCGCGATCGATCCTATCGATCTGCCGCGCCAGCCCTCGGGAGCCTCGCTGGCATGTGATCCTTGCCCTAAAGGCACGTTGCCTGCCTCGGCGGAACTCATTGCGTTGTTCGGAGGGGATGTTGACAGTGGAATGGGATCAATTGGGATATTCAAAACCTTGAAATATGGGTTGATCCAAAAGAAACAATGAAGAGAGAAGCCAAAAAAGATCAAAAAGCACTGAATGATGTTGTCACTTGTGAACCAGAAGATACAAGAAGCGTACCCCAATGTCCAACTATCTATATATTTCTTTGCGCGATCCGTTTATTGTACTTTCCACGCGTGGTGCAAAAGGGATTTCCCTGCGTCAGCCATTTGGTCCGGGGATTCACATATGCCACTGCAGAAGGCTGAGAGAGTTGCAAGAAGGGGAGCCTAGATGACGGTAAGTTGGATGAAGTTGGTGTATAACTAGTCTGACCAGGATTTATGGTGGATCTATGGATATATCATCATAGTTGGATGACTCTATACACCAACTATCACCAACTTCACCCAGGTTGGGTGCCTTCTTGTGGCCGCAGGTGAATATCAAGATGAAGAGGCGACAAGTTCCTGTCACTCGCTGATGGAGAAGTGGTGCCCACAAAATCCCGTAAATTTCCTAGTTTATCATCATATCCCTACGCAAATCCTACAAAACTGCTTATTTCTGGGTATACCAAATCTCAGACCCACTCGCATGTTGATATTTTCAGAGTGAAGCATATTACTGTTATTTTGAAATATTTGCAATATTTGGCACCTGTTTTACAGGTATTTGTAGGCATGGATCACTTCCAATCACTGTCATAGATCATGTCTTCACCGAGACATCAGCCGTTGTCATGGAGTTCGCTGTTATCCAAGCTCGCAATGCAAAGCACATGTTATTTTTTTAATGGGAAAACGTGGGACAACTATTTTTATAAACAACTAAATGATTGTATAATAATGTATGATATATTATATGTGCATATGTGCATGGAATGTAATGGCGTGTGCTGAAATATAGTGGAATGTAATGGAATTTAATGGAATATAATGGAATGTACAGGGATATAACTGAGTGTAATGGAATATAACTGAGTGTGACGGAATATAATGGAATGTGATGTAATATAATGGAATATGCCGGAATATAACAGACTGTAATGAAATATCATAAAGTGTAGTGAAAAATAATGAAATGCACTGGAATATAATGGAGTGTAATGAAGTGTATCGGAATATAATGGAATATAATGGAATTCAATGGAACGTAATGGAATGTAATGGAACATAATGGAATGTAATGGAATGTAATGGAATGTAATGGAATGTAATGGAGTGTATATGGAATGTCATGGAGTCATGGAATGTAATGGAATATAAAGGCATGTAATGGAAAGTCAGTAAAAGAATGTAGTGGAGTGTAATGGAGTGTTGTAATGGAATGTAACGGAATGTAATGGCATGGAACAGAATGTATTGGAATGTAATGGAGTGTAATGGAATGTAATGGACTGTATTGGAATGTAATGGAATGTATTGGAGTGTAATGGAATGTATTGGAGTGTAATGGAGTGTGATGGAATTTAATGGAATGTAGTGGAATGTAATAGACCGTATTGGAATGTAATGACATGTAACGGAGTGTTAATGATGTGTAATGGAATGCAATGGAATGTAACGGAATATATTGGAATGTGATGGAATGTCATGGAGTGGAATGGACTGCAATGGAATGCAGTGGAAATCAATAGAATATCACGGAGTGTAATGGAATGTAATGGAATCTAATGGAATGTAATGGAGTGTAATGACATGTAATGGAATGTAATGGAGTGTAATGGAATGTAATGGAATATTATGGAGCGTATCGGAATATAATGTTACATCGACAATAGTAAAGGGGGGTCCCCCCCTAAATTTATTTATTTTTTTTGTTTTTTTAGGGGGGGGTCTGCTTTGCAATAGTAAATCGAAAATCCCAACTCTTCCCCAAAGGCTTCTGTAAGGTTTTGACAAATCCTCTCTTTTCTGATGGGCTCTGATGGGATCTTCATTGGATTCTGATAGGAAGAAGGGAAAAAAATGCCTGCTAGAGCCAGGAAGGCTGTTTCTTATTGCAAGTGCTAATTCCAGTTTTTAATAATTTTAATTGCAAATGCAAGGACCTGCAAGGGGGTACCCTTTGTGGACCTGTTTTTTGCAATTTTTTAAAAGGAATTTAATAAAGAAAACAGCTTTTTTGAACAAGGTAAAGTTTTTGATTTGGTAGAGGTTTGCTTTGTTTTTGCTTTTGAAAAACATGCAATCACAATTTAAAACCATTCAACCACAATTAAAAACACAAAGGAAGAAGGGAAAAAATGCCTGCTAGAGCCAGGAAGGTTGTTTCTTATTGCAAGTGCTAATTCCAGTTTTTAATTGCAAATGCAAGGACCTGCAAGGGGGTACCCTTTGTGGACCTTTTTTTTTTTCGCAATTTTTTAAAAGGATTTTAATAAAGAACACAGCTTTTTTGAACAAGGTAAAGTTTTTGATTTGGTAGAGGTTTGCTTTGTTTTTGCTTTTGAAAAACATGCAATCACAATTTAAAACCATTCAACCACAATTAAAAACACAAAGGAAGAAGGGAAAAAATGCCTGCTAGAGCCAGGAAGGTTGTTTCGTATTGCAAGTGCTAATTCCAGTTTTTAATTGCAAATGCAAGGACCTGCAAGGGGGTACCCTTTGTGGACCTGTTTTTTGCAATTTTTTAAAAGGATTTTAATAAAGAACACAGCTTTTTTGAACAAGGTAAAGTTTTTGATTTGGTAGAGGTTTGCTTTGTTTTTGCTTTTGAAAAACATGCAATCACAATTTAAAACCATTCAACCACAATTAAAAACACAAAGGAAGAAGGGAAAAAATGCCTGCTAGAGCCAGGAAGGTTGTTTCTTATTGCAAGTGCTAATTCCAGTTTTTAATTGCAAATGCAAGGACCTGCAAGGGGGTACCCTTTGTGGACCTTTTTTTTTTTCGCAATTTTTTAAAAGGATTTTAATAAAGAACACAGCTTTTTTGAACAAGGTAAAGCTTTTGATTTGGTAGAGGTTTGCTTTGTTTTTGCTTTTGAAAAACATGCAATCACAATTTAAAACCATTCAACCACAATTAAAAACATTAAGGAAGAAGGGAAAAAATACAGCTGAACTGTAACTGGTTCTGATTTTTTTTCCTGCATCCATACTAAATCTCAATTAGTTCCTTTACAATTTAGTATTGGAAAATCTGACAATTTGGGAATTTTCTAAAAATAATTTGTAGCTATTGCGAATGAACCACATTTATTGCAGATGCTCTGGACCAAGGTTGATATTTGTAATTTAAAATCAATAAGGCCTAATTTAAAATCAATAGGGGCTGAAAAATCAGATTCTGAAAATTATTTGTAGCTATTGCACACGCTTTACTATTGTCCATCCAACATTATAATGGAGGTATCGGAATATATAATGGAATGTATCGGAATATATAATGGTGTGTAGTGGAATGTAATTATGGAATGTAATGGAATGGAATGTAATGGAATGTAATGGAATGTAATGGAATGTAATGGAATGTAATGGAATGTAATGGAATGTAATGGAATGTAATGGAATGTAATGGCATGTGATGGAATGTAAGTGAATGTAACGGAATGTAAAATGGAATATAGTGGACTGTCAGTAGTTCAATTAAAATGAATGTATGGATAGATTTGGTTCCCAGTCAAGTCAAAGTTCTGGAACAAGATCCTGTGATCTCACAGGATCCATATGTCCATTCCATACCTCCGTCCCAGACCTTTCGAGGGAGAAGTCAGATGTCCCTGGCCCATGATTTGGGCTAACAAAGCTGCAGATATTTCTCGTATGGATTGCTGCGGGTTTCAGGTTCCACGCTTGGAGCAAAAACAAAATGATTTGATTCGATTTCTGTGCGTCTGCGCCAAGAGGCTAGCGGCTAGTGGCTACTGTGATGATTAAGCCTGCTTTGATGACTTTTTCAGGGCTGCATAGGCAACACCGCGGCTGCTGTTACTTCTCATTCGCGAAATGTTTGGAGTCCAGCCATCCTTCCATCCGTCCAAAACATGGCGGAACGATCCAGGGGCAATTTTGACCCACAGCCATGTACATAGATAAGATAAGATAAGATAGGTTCAAAGAGATAGTCAGATAGAAAGAAAATTGGACAAAGAGATACAGTAGATAGACAATTAGATCGATAGATGGAACGAATATACATGTATGTATAGACAAATAAAATCAAATAAATCAATATACAAATACTTACACATGTTCATGGATGTACCGGATTTGGTTGGCAGTAACGTATTCCTAGTGGCAGAAACCCATCATTGCGGGTTAGGGCTAGTCGCATCGTTGCGGGTCGGCGATGAAACTTGGGTCGACAATCCCATCATCCGATCGAACATACTTCCCAGGGGGGTTACGGATCACCCCATTTTGTACTTAGCACGGGTGGAAAGGATTTTGTGTCGCAAGATATGGGTGGGTATGGGTGGTTTATATGATTGGAAGGAATTATCCATGTTGAAGGGTTTGTGCGATCAACTGTTTCAGAATTGTGGACATACCTTTGAGACTCCGTGAGCCTGTAGATGTATATAGTGGTTTAGATGTATATAGTGGTTGATTGCAAGTATTAAATTACGTTTTGCAAAGGACATCCAAAAGAACGACTATTTGGAATTTTGGCCCCGGTGTCATATAACGTAAGGTTCCCCACAGATCTCGGGGCGACTCGGGGCCAATGGGGCTGGATCAACCCCCGTAAACCATGACCCCTCAAGGCCAGGGCGGCCAGGGGTCAGGTTCCACAAAGTGGAGCCCCGTTTGTGATAAATTAGTTCATTCAGATCATCTTAAATCCGTTTGAGCATAGATGTTTCATCAGCTTAAATCAGACAGTTAACAGTACACCTAGTTAGAAAGCATAGCGGTACCGAACTGGGGCACCACCTTGTAACTGCAATTGCTGGTTAATTCCAATATATATATATTTATGATGTACAATGATACCTACATACGTATACATATATATATATGTATATGTATGTATGTATATGTTATTTATATATATATGACTATATATATATATATGACTATATATATATCATACATATACTATATATATATATACTCTATATATATATATGCACTATATATATACTATATATAGAGAGTATATAGTATATATACTATATATATAGAGTATATATATATATAGTATATATATATAGTATATGTATAATATATATATATATATGTAGTATCTACAGTATATAATATATTTATATAGGTGTGTATATATGTATATATGTAGTGTATATATAGTATAAATCATATGTATGTATATAGTATATGAATAATATAGTACATAATATATATATAGTATATATATAGTATATATAATATATATATATATATATCGTATATATATATATAGTAAATATAGTATATATATATACAGTGTATATATATAGTGTATATATATAGTGTATAGTATATATATAGTGTATATATACATAAATATTATATATAACATAATATATATATATATATATGTATATAATATATATATATATATATATATATCGTATATATATAGTATATATAATATATATATATAGTATATATATACATAGTATATATATAGTATATTTATAGCATATATATATATATATAGAGTATACACCTGCATCCTCATTAGGGTGCTTTTTTTCACCTTGCGGTGTTTTTTGATGAATTTCATGATTTTGAAAAATGGCCTCAGTTTAACCGGTACTATGGATTGCATGGCCGGAACTGCATTTCCTGAAGTCAGTGATCACAAACCAGGGACAAACACTTCAAGCATCTATTTACGTATCTTAATTTCGTGAAATCCCCATTGATCCCAAAGAGCCTTCAGGTTTTTCATTAACCCCCTGCCAATCCAAAGTCATGGGAAGAGACTTCACGCATTCATCTATATAGTTTAATTGTTCCAAAAAACCTACTGACCTCAAATCAGCAGAAGAGTCTTCAGGCTATTCATGAAGCCCTGGAGAATCCAAGATCATGGGAAGACATTTCAACACCTATCCGCATATATATTGTATATGAATGATATAGTATATATATATACACACATCCTAGCAAACATCCATCGTAATCTCAGGCAAACGCTGCGAAGTTGGCAAATACCAAAGTGAGCTTGGCCAGACCGACTGCAGAAGCTGCCCTCGGAAGACGACGACGTTGGGCTTCGGTTCCAAGTCGCTCTCCGACGCTCGGGTGGGTTGGCGTGTCAAGTGGATTATGGCAGCATTTTTTTCTTCGAGTGATCCCCGCCGTGGCATATATTCTGGCAAATATCCTCACATTTGAATTGGCATTTTATTTGATTGACATGTTATCATTCTTTCTGGCATTTTTGGCATTCTATCTGACATTTTCTCTGACATTCCATTTGGCCTTCTAGTTGACCGTCTATCTGACATATTTAATATATATAATGTATATATTAATACATGGAGTCATGCTATCTAAATTCAATTTGTGAATTTATTTGCCATTTGACATATTTTCTGAAATAATGTTTGCTTTTTAATATCGCATTTTATCTGGCATTCTATCTGACATTTTATTGATGCTCTCTCTCTCTCTCTCTCTCTCTCTCTCTCTGGCATTTTATTTCACATTTGGCAGAGAACCTGGGAGCTCGCATACTGTTCGGGTCCGGTGCGCCCCAGACAGCTGGGGTTCGGGCCCGCCCCGCTGCAGATAGCTTTGGGTCCGGCGCGCCCCAAAGAGCTGGCGAGCTCGCCATAGAGTGGCTGTGTGAGGGGGGGCTGGCAAAAGAAGCTGGCGATGACATCTGGCATCATCTGGCGTGTGTGTGTGTGTGCGACACAAGGCATGGTGCCTGGTGTCACTGTATACACTTAGATTTGCAGCGGGCAAGGATCTTTTGGTGGGTCTTGCACCAGTCAAAGCGCTCACCTTAGGCCGTAGAAACGCATAGCTTTGCGGGGGGTGTGCAGGAGGCGCGAGGACCTTTGCTGAGTCTTGCGCCAACGAAGACGCTCACAGACATTTTGAAGTGTGGAACGTCGTTTTGCGTCACAGGCGCAGGACATTGGACGCTTTTTAATCTGTGCGGCAGGTGTGGTATATACTTTCTGCACGCTGCTAATACTTTGGCAGATGCAGGTCCAAAGGAGAGGTGACGACGTTTTGACAGGTTTCAAACTTTGTCTATGAAACCGTCGTGGTTTTTGATTTGGTACATGACTGCGCTCATGTTCACATCGTTCGCAGAACCTTTTAGTCACTTTGTGACTCTCATCGCGCGCGCAAACTTCTTGTGACTTTGCACGTGTCAGATCGCACTTGTTGTGGCGCAGCGTAGTAGCTGATTCTCAGGAATCCTGGCGAAGAGATCTTATAGGAGTTCTCTGGAAGGTCCTTCTAATCTATGACCATTTGGCTCTCATAGAGGTCCTTATATGAAGATCTTGACCAAGGTCGTCTTGTGGAGGTGCTCGTGTCTTGTTAAGATCTTAGTCAAAAGCTCTACGAGGTCCTTGCATGAAGATAACGAAGATGCCATGTATCAGAGGTGTTTGTCTGAAAGCGCTTCTAGGATGCTCTTGGGGGTTTCGTGTATACTGACGACCTTGTGAGATTTTCTTTTCGGGGTCTTGGTATGCAGCTCTTGATCAAGATCTTGCAGAAATCCTTGTGAGAATATCTTGGGGTCCTTGCATGAAGATCTTGAAGATGCCCTGTATTAGAGGTGTTTGCACGAAAATTTTCTGAGATGCTCTTGGCAAGATCCCGCATGAAGATCTTGCAAGATCCTCTTTAGCAGGTGCTTCTATGACGACCTTTTGAGATTCTCTGAGAGGTCCTGGTATGAGGTTGGTTAGCTGTTGCTTGTGACAAACACAAGTTCCTGCTGCTGCAGTACTGCTGCAGTTCTGACAATGTCTAACCGGATTTGCTGTTTCCGTACCTACTACTGCTTTAATCTCTTACATTCTCTTTCATTGGTTTCATAACCCACCACGCTGTTTGGGGTCTCTTGGCGGGGTAATTGTTTAAATTGAATTTTGATGCTGAAGCCGAAGTGGTGTGATCGTGGAGCCCCGGGACTTGCTGTTGCCCGCAAAATCCACATCCAACATTTTAGTATGAAAGACCGTTAAACTGCTGCTCTTGCTGCCAACGGGTTGTTGTAGGTTGGCGGTGTTGTAGTGGGATATTGGTACACTGGCGTTTTGTGCTGCTGATATGCAATTAAAACATGTCATTGAAAAGGAACCACACATAGAAACACCCTGATTCTGCACTATGACAGCATTTACACTTGATACCAACTATATATCCACGTCTTGCCACTTATTGGAATTAAATGCAATGCTGTTTCGCCTGTAATCAACCGAATGTCCTGATATTTCCCTTGGGGCTCAAAACAACAATGGTGTTTCTTCGAAAAGACCAGAACCACATGGTTTTGTCTAGAAACAGGGTACTTTTGAAATAGGGTATACTTACATGATCGAAAAACATGATCGTAAATAGTTAATCATGTTCCACTTATGGTCAGACTCTGTGGATCTCCCTTCGCGTCACCTGTACCCGGAACATCCGAAACCTAGGACTGTGGATGCGAGGAGGGCAGAATCAATATCGGGCCCGAAATCAGGCAAAATGGATCAGACTTTGAGTGCGTGGGTTGCGGTCTCTTGGCCACATGTGACCAACATCTGTGTCCCTTGAGAAGATCACAAGAATTATAGGTGAATTTTGAATTTATATGTATATAAAGCATTATAAAGCACCCATGCATTTTTGTCCCGAACTCGGCTGCGACTGGTCACAACCATATTTTGGCAACTGTTTGTATATGATTTTGCATTAATCCTTTTCCCCCCATACAAACACCCCCCGAATAATGAACACCTGGAGTAGTCTAGTAGTACTGTAGGGGGAAGGGATTAATTTTGACTGATGCTGGAACAATTCATTTTTCCCAAATTTCTGATGCCAAAGGACCTCATAGTGAGCTTTGGGGCGCAGAGGGGCCAAGAATTTGGTTGTTGCTCTAATCACAGTTTTGGTTGTTTGGTTCATTTTGGTTGCAGTAACCACCAAGAACGTGAAATTCTAATATTTTGTAAATATACGTGATTCAAGTCACAGTCCCCCTCCAGATTTCATTTGTGTTCTTTTCTGGTGCGGGGTTGATTGATAATCATGGGAAAACCGTTAAATAAAATTGATTTGAAATTGCATATGATAATATCATCATTTTCCTGACCCAAAATGCCCATAAGACTGGGGCCTATCCTCTATCCTTGGACAACCTCTGTGGTCCAGTTACCCCCCCCAGCTCAATTTCCATCCTCCCTACCGCTGCTTTTTCTTTCGCTCAGATGACGGCCTGTATTGCCCTTTCTCCTCAACTTTGCAGAATCTCAGAGATGGAGAATCACAATTGGGCAAGGACTGCGGCGGAAAAATCACCTCGACGTGAATTGACATTCACGCTTTTAGATGTTCTTGGACATATGGACGCACAAGTATATATATATATAAATATTATTTCAACATATGAGCGACGGCTTTTGTTTGGAAGGTTTCGCGATTGAAAGTGGTTCTCTGAAATTTGATTTCTTCAGGCGGATCCATATGTATGCAGATTGTCTGGTAAGGAGCTATTCTATTTCAATGTTAACTACTTAATGTTTTCTTAGCCAAGTTGCAGATAAGTTATCTTTTGTTTTCTAACTCCAGGACCAAGGAACTCGGATATAATATATATATATATATTGATAGCACCGTTATTCTCATACTATAGCATAAAGTTGTATCAATGCGACGACTCCGAAGAAGCACGTCTACGCAAGGTCTTGCTTTATTTTATCTTTCTTTGGTTTTGCACGTGCATTGAAATTGATACATGGTATTAAAATTCATTGTGCGCAGCATTCTTTACAGGACCAAACCAAAGGTATGGGAAGGAATCATGAAACCCTGTGCCAAATACAACATGAGATTCAGAGGCGCAACGTCGATGACGAACAAAATTTAAACCGTTCATCTATTTGGATCCAACCAGCACGGAACCCAATGGCAACCATCAAGATCCATTCACGATTAAAAAAAGGATTCGTGTCGTGGCGTTGATCAAATCTGTCGATCTTCCACGGGTTGAATATATAGATGATATCTTGCATTGTTCTGAACGTGAAGAAGTATGAATACGTAATTTTCTAACCTTCTAACGGGTTAAACCTAAATTAAAACTGATGTCGTCAGTTTGCATATTTAGTGGATGGGCCTGTGCCGCCTGTATTGTGGGGCTGCAAGCCGCCAGCAAAAATAAGAGCAAAGTGCGTCCTGAGGTTGGTTATGCGTCTTGGGATAGGCTGGAAAAAAATGTTCGTCCTAAATCCGGCTGAACGACCCGGAATCAATTGAACAAAACCTATGGATTTTGAGTTTTGGTCCTAAGTCCCTCTCGCGAAATGTACCACCTGAGGTAGGCTGAAAAAAAAACTCGTCCTAAATCTAGGGTCTGAGGTAGATTTCGTCCTAAGTCAGCAAAAGAAAATTTGAATTAGAAGAGGATGGGAATTGTCCGTGTTCGCTGAAAGCCCTGATGTTGAAGCACTCTAGGTCGGAAGCTTCTTTGGAGTCAGGGCTGACAACTGCATTCAGAGGTGAACTGCTGAGCCAACGAAGAGCCACATGTGGTGCGGACTGTCGCTTGTGCCCCCGTTTGGGCCTAGAGTATGATTGTCATTGAAGTTCGGGTCACCCACGACATGATGATAATTGGTTGCAATGAGAGGGAACAAGCACTTGGTGGTTAATATGGCAGCAGTTCATGATATGGTCTATGTGCAAATAAGCAGTATCCCACCCCATAGGCACAACATGTCAACAAGGTAGCGTCAACTGCGTGTTCCAGTTACCAGGAGGGTTACCATGCCACCCCGCACCACGTAAACAACTTTTCAACAAGGACCTGTTGTTCGCCCAGGTCAGATGCCGACTGTGCCGCCCCGCCTATCAAGTTGGGCTGCGGCTCATGGGCAGCCGCCTACCGGAGAGCCCCTCCGGATAGGCAGGCTGCCCTCCACTACCTCTTTAAGCACCAAATTGTCACGAAGAAGGCCCGGCGCTGAGCATAGGGAAAGGGAGCCAAATCATGGGGGACTTGTTCGCTACTTCCTTCCAGATTCCAGGGGCATCTTAGAGCACACAATCTGATACTCGGGGCACTGGCGACAGGATATGCAATGTGGCTTTGAACCATTAAGACCAGCCAGCATCATACCCCTATTTCGATGGCTGTGTTGCAGGAGGTGGAGGGCGAAAGAAGGGTTGGCGAAGGGCACATCGAGGAGTGCTTCACTCAGAAATTTGCCGAAGGGGTGGCGGCTCCTTTGTTGTCAATTGCGTTGAGAAGCCTGGTGTATTTGTGTGAGTGTGTGGCTGCTTGGAGGTGACTAGTGTGACATGCACGGGTCACCTTCCAGTGCATTTGAGCAAGCGAATGGGGTTTTGTGCGGAACCGTGGTTTATGCTAACCCCGCCGGTAAAGATGCGGTGGTTTCTAACACTTTTCAGCAAGAGTTGAGCCTAGGGCAGAGTGACCTGATCGCAGTGGAGACAGCGAGAGAGAAATGGGGCGGGGTGACAATAACCTTCCTAGTCACATGTACACATGCACGAACACAAACAGTGCAGGCTACGTTCGAAGAAGTTGTCAGAAAATTTTTGCACAAGTAATTAGAACCGCACGAGGCCGTGGCGGAAGTTTCCAACTCTAGGACTGTGAAATGTTTGGATGCTGAAATGTCAAAGAGATCAATTGATGCTGTGCAACTGGTGTGTCTGATCTATCTCTTTGCTTTATCTATCTACCTATCTGATCTATCTATCCATCTATCTATCTATCTATCTATCTACCTATTTATCTACCTATCTGATCTATCTATCTATTTGATCTATCTATCTATCAGATCTGTCTGATCTATCTGATCTGTCTTGTCCATCTATCTATCTGATCGGATCTATCTGATCGATCTGATCTGCCTTATCTATCTGATCTATCTGATCTGTCGTATCTATCTGATCTGTCGTATCTATCTATCTGATCTATCTGATCTATCTGATCTATCTGTGACTCATCTCAGGTGCATCAAGATTGCTTTGCTGATGCTTCGGGAAGAGCCCGCTGATCCTCAGGAGTGAACGCCGCCCCAAATGTGCTATAGAGGACGTTCTCAACACATAAAGGACCCAGATGCAGAATGAAAGGCCCCCCCTTTGACATAGATGATCCGCTCTTATTGGATCACATGGGCTTCCGTCAGGCTTAGCATTGGCCAGCAAGTGGCTGGGTGACGGTGACCGGCTTATCGGCTAGGTGACATTATTCCAGAGTGTACTAGCGTTGTGTTTGCACTGCTGGGTTCTGCCCACAGTTTGACCTGACGTCGCGGCAAGGATTTTTTTCAGCAAGAGCTCTTCAACCTCTGGAGCCAGAAGGCAGCTCTGCAGGAGGTGTTGGAAGAAAGGCTGGCAGCCTCCCTCCGTGCAGGTGCGGACCCTCCTGAGCTTCAGTTTGGTTGGCTTTGGCTTGTTTCATTGTCATTGCCAATCCAAATTTCATTCCCTCATTTCTTTCCAATGTCTCGCGGTTCACGCATGTATCATTGATTCGCTTTGTTCACGGCCTTGGTATGTGTGACGCAGCCTCATGTGTGCCAGGAAGGCTGCGCTTCTTTGACTGATTGGTTCCGGGTTGATGTTCCCCCCAAAACGGGAGGAGCTCATCAACGTGAAAGCTGCTCTTGCTCTCGCGAGAAAATGAAGGCGGCTTTTGAAAGCAGCATGATTCATGATGTGTTAGGTGATGATGTCGACCCTGGTGATGCTGCTGATGCTGATTATGATGATGATGATGATGATGATGTTGATGATGATGGTGATGGTGATGATGATGATGATGATGATGATGATGATGATTCACCATTGTCATCATCAGCAGCATCATCATGGTGTTGCCGGCCTTCATGAACATTCTGACTTTTACTGCCAATAATTGATTGGCCGAAGGTGGAAACATGATAGCATGACGAATATGCACATGATGCTGATGATTGGCATCATGATCCTCGCTTCAAGATCACAGTTTTCTCCGGGGTGAAGACATTATAGATGTCTATTGATCAAAGGAAATTTAGTGAGCAAACGTCCGAGTGATGGACAAATTTCCCTAGAGAATTTTCGCATCACTACGCCAGCTAGCTATACAAGGAGCAACACCAGTTGGGAAGTTGATACTCAGTAAGAGACAACATTAGATCACGGTAACAGGAAGTGCACAAATCATTGTATTGTTGCAGGTACGGTGAGATGAGGCCGGAAAGATGCGCACGTGACTGTATGGAGAAAAAGCAGAACAACTGAAGGGACACCTCACACCAGCCCAACGTGTTTATTTGGGGTCCCTTGAACAGTACTCTTCACTATACTAAGACCCCAAAACATAGAAAGTGTCAAGGTAGGTGTTGAAACCCTTAGTCGATTTAGCCGCGTTGCGTTGTTTCAATGTAACCATCACTGGTGGCACTAAACCAAAATCATTGCGTGGTCGTGTTTTTTAGGTTTGAAACATGTGGTTCAACATATTTAAGATGTTTTTTGAAATTATTCGCCATGAGAACCCCTTATAGTTTCACCAATTTTCACACATGGGTGACCTCTACCAGCCCCGTAAAAATGGGCATCTATGTCGAAGATTCGCCAGCAGGACTATGTGCCAAAAGTCCTGACTGGTTACTATACGCCAGTGGAGGACCCTTTGAGCGTGTAGCCTGATAGCATAAAAAAGGGGAAGCCATATATAAAAAATTGGGCCATTTGGGGGTGATTTGACCTGCCTTTTGATCTATTTTGGGTGAACCTGGGATGGTTTACGGTTTTAAGATGTTGTAAGTTGAAGGCACATGATCCAAATTTGAGCCTGAAAAAGGAGAAGATGTGACTGTGACTCCTTTGGATCAGTGGCGTCGAGATATCTGCGATGAAAACATGGACATCAAAAAAATGGGTTGAGTCTAATGGGGAATAGGTCAAGTTATTTTTTTTAAACCAGCCATTTTATATTATAGACATGGCTTGACTTGGGACCTGGGAAATGAGGCTAGGGCAAGCATTTTACAAGGCAGCTTTGTTAGTTTTTTTGGTTTACCGGTTCTTCCTGGGGAACGAAACAAAACCGTCTTGTAAGCTTGATTGTGTAAGTTCGAGAAGTAGGTCCATCACAAAATGGTTGTCTTGACATCAGGGGGTAAACGGGCAGGAGGATCTATATTTTCCCATAGAATTTCTGGTCATTCCGTTCGTTTCGTGGATTTTCATAGTTTAGATTTCGGCATTTTCTCATCGTCCAGAGATGACTATACACCGCATTGAGCCACGAGTTTGTGGAGGTCAAACTCACCGGGAACGTGGCAAAACTTGATGACTTGGGGAGACTACATGTCAGATCAGCCCGCTACGAGATTTGGTGGGAAGATTTGTACGCGCGAAGGCCTGGAAGCCCAAGGTGCTCTAAAAAAGTGTCATCCAACGAAAGTCGATGGTTTTTGTTTTTTGCGCCCAAAAGTCGATCAAGCATATACAAATGATGCATAATGATGCTGGATGTTGTGCGCACTAGTCGGTTGCCTGTTGATTCTAGTCAAAATTGAAAATTTACAAAGATGCGAAAAAAGGTGAAAAAGTATGAAGCATGCTGTATTTTTCCGTATTCGTCGCGCGTATCCGCATTCACCCGATGCTTTGTGCGCCGCAAACCGTGGGATGCTGGCTGATGTTGGCAGAAAAAAAATCAAATTTTCGCCACCATTCGGGGTGATCACCAAAGTCGATGGTTTTTGTTTCAAGCAACAATTTTTGGCCCCAAAAGCCGAAAGTCAATAGCTTTCGCAAATTAAGTTGACAAGAAAATAGAGCAATTTTGGGGCTCCAGGTACTCGTAGCTGACCAATAGATGGATGGGTTTTTGTTTATAACTGATTGGTTGGAAGGGGGGCACATTAGTAAATGGTCGACGGTGAGTGTTAGTAGTCAGTGCCAAATTGAGTTCGACCCCTCGTTTTCCATCAACCAAGGTGCAGTGCGCTAATTCCTCCGAAGATCAAATTTGTTTAGGGCATTTTCCATCTTTTTTTTTTTTTAATAGAGGTTCCCATGGACTTTAAGATACTTTAAGCCAATTGCTACATTTGCCCATTGACCCAGTATATTTCTGTACATGTGCATAAACAGTATGTTTAAAAATTGCAATATAACTACGTACTGTACCATGAATGATAGTATATGGTCGTCATAGTGTATGCTGGGCATGGCCTGCTGGAAAATTCTCCATGGCTAGTTCGATGATTTCCTAGCTATGGACATCCATTTTTAAGTTGGTGAATTTTGCATATTTTCCGATTATTTTCGAGTGTGTTTTCCATTGAAATGGATTAATATACCAAACATGACCGGCTCAGGACACCAAACATGTCCCATGCTGCAGAGCTGAGGTACCGCTGCGAACCTGCCCATGTGTGTCTCTTGGACCGCTGTTAGTGTTTCCAAACGTGGGGAGTTAGCCACAATTTCAGGGAAAGTATTTCATGCGTGCATTTCACGAGTATAATACTATATATTATGTTTATTTAATATTATATAAAATACATGTTATATCATATTTAATATTAAATTAATATGTGATGATATATAATGTTATATTACATTATATTCCGTTATATTCGAAGGAAGTTTAGAAGTCAAACTTGCGACAATATGGACAGATGGAAAAGCAAAGATGGGAAGAGTCAGAGAAGAGAAGAGAAGAAGAGAGAAGATCAGAGAAGAGAAAGAGTCAGAAGAAAGAAGATGCAGGTGCGCGCGCGAAACGGTATAAAAGTTGCGATTCGCTGTGTTTTTCCAATGATGTGTGGCTCCGGAGTGTCGAAAAGTAGGCTCGCTAAAGCGGCGGGTGCGGAGTCATCTGGCCAGATGGGAGATGAAAAATTGCAAGCCGTTGTGGCGCGAAGCACATTTCCAAGTCAAAATGTACAAAGCACGCGATGCTCGGAGCACTTTTGGAAGTTGAGATGGTGAAAAAAGTGCACGCCGTTGTGGCGCGAAGGACATTTCCAAGTCAAAATGTGCAAAGCACGCAATTCTCAGACCACTCTTGGAAATTGAGATGTTGAAAGAGTGCACGCCATTGTGGCGCGAAGCGCATTCCGAAGTCAAAACGTGCAAAGCACACCATTCTCAGACCACTTTTGGAAGTTGAGATATCGAAAAAGTGCACGCAGTTGTGGCGCGAAGCACACTTCCAAGTCAAAATGCACAAAACACCTCAGCCTCGGAGCACTTTTGGAAGTTGAGATGTCGAAAAAAGTGCACGCCGTTCTGGCGCGAAGCACATTTCCAAGTCAAAATGTACAAAACACCACATGTTCGCGCCACTTTTGGAGGTTTAGATGTGCTTTCGCGTGGCAGGCGCAAGGGATTGTGCATCTTCTCAAAAGTGAGCAAAACGTGAGGGGGTTGTAGAAATTCTAAAAACGATGGCAGGCGTGGGACATTCGAAGAGGATCCGCAAAGATACATTTCGCGTCGCGCGCGCAGTACAAGAGGCATGTTCATCAGAGATGTTCGGAGGTCAGGGCGCTGATTTCCTGAGAAGGGTTGCATTTTGGAGCATCAGATGTTCAGGTTTGCTAAGATGATTTCGCGCGACAGGCACAGCACTTCGTATGATCTGGCATCAATTTTTCGTGGCAGGCGCAGCACTTTAGACACATGGAGTGGAAAAATCACAAAACGTATTGGCACGAGGCCATCAGCTCTGCACTCAACTTTCATGTTGAACGAAGTCTCGCAGGATTGCTTTGTTTTTGATGTTGTCAACTTCGAAAAGTGAGGAAGTCTCGCAGAATTGTTTTGTTTTTGACGTTGTCAAGTTCAAGAATTGAGGACGTGTCGCAGAATTGTTGCGTTTTTGATGTTGCCAAGGAAGAAGTCTCGCAGAATAGCTTCGTTTTCAAGCTTGCAGATAGATAGATAAATAAACAGACAGATGGCTAGATAGACAGACAGACAGATAGAGAGATAAACAGATAGACAAATAGATAGACAACTGCAACTACACAATACTACAACTGCAACTACAACTTCAACTACACTTCAACTACAACTACACCTTCCACTACACTTCAACAAATAAGTACAACTACAACTACACTACAGCTACACTACAACTACCACTGCCACTACACTACACTCAGCTACACTAGACTACAGCCACAACTGCAACTGCAACTACAACTACATTACAACTACAGCCGCAGCTACAGCTACCACTGCATTACAACTTCAACTACAACTACCACTACCTGTAAACTACACTACAACTACAACTACATTTCAACTTCATCTACACAACAGCAGCAACAAGTACCACTACTCTAAACTGCACTACAGCTACATGACGCATCATTACGCTACAACTACAACTACAACATTACA